CCCCATTATTCTGGTGGACTCCTGGGGGTGACTAAAAGGCCATCTTTCCTGATGTTTTTGTCCGTTTGGTGGAACAATGCTGGTTACTCCCCAGGGTGACTGTCCTTGGCTTTCTCCTCTCTCAATACCTAACTAACCACCTACTCTAACAATAACAGGTTGCTCTGAAATTCAATATACAGTTGAGTCTTGAACATGTCTTTAAACTGTGCAGGTCCATACTTTATTGTAAGAACCCAGTATATAACACATGTAACATATAAAATATGTATTAATTGACTGTTTATGTTATCAATAAGACTTCTAAATAACAGTAGACTTAAATTTTTGAGGAATCAAAAGTTATACATGGATTTTTGACTTGGGGAGGTCAGTGCCCCTAACTCCTGTATTGTTTCAAGGTCAACTGTATAATATATATATATATATATATATATATATATATATATATATATATCCACAAACATCAGTGTCTGGCACAGAAAAAATGCTAGCTACATCATTGCTTCTAGCTTCTGTTACCATTCTTACAATAAAAACAAAGAATCTCAATCAGCCTTGATGTCTGACAGTGGGGAGCTTGTAAGAAGTACAAAGAAAGACTCAGGCTTCATTCCAGACCTACCAAATCAGCAACACTGTATGTACTAGCTCTGTGGCCTCAGTTGGAATTATCCTCTCTCAGCCATGGATTCCTCATTTATAAAATGAGTATTATAATATCACCTACCACCTGTTTTGTTCTCAGCTGTCTAGGGTAAGATTGACTACTGTCAGTTTCTAGACTGTGCCATTCATTTTTCTGACCTAGAGGCTTTGCACTTACTGTTCCTTCTGACTAGAATGCCTGTTTCTTATCTCTCCTCATTCCTAACCCCTGCTATCTTTTAGGTTTCAGCTTAATGTCACCTCCTCAGAGAGGCCTTTCCTCACCACCTTCACTCCATCCACTGTCACTCCATGTTTCCACACATTACATATTTCTTTCTTGGTGCCAGTAGCCATCTATAGTTATTTCTGAGTCTGTTTATTTGCTTCTTGTCTGCCTTCTCTATCAGTGTATAAGCCACAAAAGGGCATAAGATTGAGTCTCTCTCTGTGCACAATGCCTGACACAGTGTGTGTACTCCATAAACATTTGTAGAAAGAATAAATATGTTGATAACAAGGGGGTGAAAACATGGGAGGGAGGTGGGGAGGACTGGGGTCGTAGGGAGGGATGGGGGAAAAGGCAGAAAACCATACTTGAACAATGATAAAAAGATGTTTTAAAAAAAGTTTTAAAAAGTAAAAATATTCCTGTCTTGTCAACTGGAAAAAAAGAAAAAGAAAAAAGTGTGTGTGTGTGTATGTGTGTGTGTGTGTGTGTGTGTGTGTAGAGCAGGACCAACAACATGGAGTTGGTTCAGTCAAGATAGCATAAAGTATATAAACCAAAGTGGAATTACTCATGTCAACCAAGATTGTTTCCAGTCAGCCATGACATTTTGGTTCAAGAAGGAAACTACCCAACTCAGATCAGACACACCTGTCAAGGAGATCCACCTAAGGTATCTGCACACATGGCCACAATAGCCATATCTGCAGAGTGAGTCCACCCATAAATAGGTTCCTGGGGAAATCCCCCATTTGCCATCATGGGTGCCAAGACACTTATTGAGAGACCCAGAAGGGTGGAGTACACCACTTTCAAGGTGTAACTGAGGCACTATCCAGACCACTGCTGAGGCAGCTGAGCTCCACACACCAGTGTGCTTCTCCATACCATGATGATCTCCTTTGGCATCGGCTTCCAGAAGCTCTGCCCTGCTGCACACCTGGCTGCAGAACTTCTTCCTTGAAAGACACTGATGGCTCCCTTGCCTACTGTGCTGTCCCCTTGACCTGCAGACTTAGACTCAGGGAATCAGTTCGTTATTCCTCATTGTTTGCTCCGTGTGTGTTATGTTCCTCTTAAATTGTTAGAGTGTGAGTAGGATATTAATGTATGTTGATGTTCTACTTTGAGTGACCCTACATTCAATAAAAAAATAGAATAAATATGTCAATTAATGAATATAGAGTGCTTATCACAGTGCTGGGAACCTAGTAAAGGCCCCATAATAAAAATAATAATGTAATATTATTATAATAAAATAGACCACCATATAAGCCTGGGCTTCATGTGACCGTGGACTCTGGCCTTCACAGATTGCTGGAGTGATATGGAGGCTATCCATCCATGACTCAGTACCCCACTGGCACTTATGTGACCCTCCTGTCCAATCACATAAAAGAGCTGTACTGAAGAAGATGCTGCCTCACTAAAATATGGAAATAACTATCCTGTGACTGTTATTAAGCTCAAACTATCAACCACTCTAAATTGGTTTTTGCCATTTTATACAGCACAACATACATTTGTTAACTTTTCAAATGGTAAACACCACCTACAAAGTCCCTTTAATATTTAATGTGAGTATAGATTGTTTTGAAAATAAATTCAGTCACGTGGAAAAACAGTAGGAACAGGAAACAAACCCAGGAACCTGCTCCTTGATGGTCAGAGTGGTCACAGGTCTGAGATTCAGGTGGTGATTCTAATCACCTCTCAGCTGGTCAGGAATGCTGCTTCTCCTTGATGCAGTCCTGATTCTGAACTTAGAACTTGGATCTTTGGAGGAGGAGGGGCTAAGTATACGGAATCTGCTTTGAATGGAACCATCCTGGGACATTGCTAATTAAGATATATAACCACTGCCTTGGTGGAAAAAGAGTTGTGAGCTCTTTTGTTCAAGCCAGCTTTTAACCCATGACCAGCCACACTGTTCATTATCATGATGGTGGGGTTATGCATGGGGCTACTGTCTGGTCTTTAATTTTGTCACCATGTATTGCTTTTCCTACTTAGTGTGTCTCTCTCCATCCCTTATCACACACTGGAATAGGGCCTCAGAAAAGTTACTGACTTGTTTTTTGTGGTTTTTTTGTCTTATTTCCCTCACAATGTAAACTTACGTTGCTAAGTTTACATTGGTCACAAAAATGGTGAGTATATGTAGAGTGACTGCAATAGTGTCTGGTGTACACATGTTTACTGTGAATTTGCAGCTGCTGCTAATGGTATCATGCAACCTCCTCCTCTTGCCCTCTTCACTCCCCAGCCACTGTGTCAGCCTCCCCAGTGCCTGCTGTGTCCCATCTCTCCCACCACCAGCCCTTTTCACCAGCTGTGTCCTCTGCCTGCAGCACTTTTCCCTCTTTTGTGTATCTAATTAACCCCTGTTTATCTCTCAGCCAGCAGCTCAATTAATTGAAACTTGTACTTTAAAGGAAAGGCAAGCTCTCTCCTTCTACTGTCACAGGGACTAACTAAATCTTTGGAGCTAGAAGGGTGGGACTGAATTCTCTTATTAATGAGGTCATGTGTCCACTTGTGACTGGTGCCAGAGGACCAAATCAGCATACTTATCAAAAGCCCTATGCTGAAGAAGAAAAGAGCTGCTGTTCTTGGCAAACAAAAGCATCATTGTTCAAAAATTGTCCCAGGACACATATACAATGCAATGTGTGACTTAGGACAGTCACCAGAAAAGCCAAGTGAGAACAGTAAACTGATGGTCATGGGCACCAATTCAAACACCAGCAGGAATCCGCCAATTTGGGTTGTAGTGAACAAGAAAATTTTATTCAATGCTAACAGCTCAACTGTGATATGGCACAACTGTAAAATAGCTCTGGGGCCAGGTAGTCTCAATCCATTCCTTGGTTGTCTGCTCTGCTGTGCTCTAGCTAGACATCGTCTGTACTGTTTCAACCAGGGATTCACAATCTTCCTTCTTTGATGGAAAGGGAAAGTGTGTTCCCAGGGCCAGAGGACAGGAGTTCCCACTCCTGGTTCCTGATTGGTGTGTCCTCATGAAAATAAGGGCTCCAAATCCTCAGTTTAATTGGCCCAAAAGCACTGTCCTGATTGGTCAGAATAGAGCCATTCTGAGCTCTGCAGCTCTGATTAGATGGGAAAAGACTCAATCTTTTATTTTAATTTTTTATTTTAATTGTTGTTCAAGTACAGTTTTCGGTCTTTTACTCCCACCCCAGCCCACCCACCCAATCACCCCCCCCCCCCATTTTTACCCCCCACTAGTTTTTGTCCATGTATCCATTATACTAGTTCTTGTAAACCCTTCCCCTTTTCCCCCGAAACTCCCTCCCCTCTCCCCTCTGGTCACTGTCAGCCTCTTCTCTATTTCAGTGTCTTTCGTTATATTTTGTTTGTTCGTTTGTTTGTTTTGGTATTTAGGTTCCTGTTGTAGGTGAGATCATATGGTATTTGTCTTTTACCACCTGGCTTATTTTGCTTAGCATAATGCTTTCTAGTTTCATCCATGCTGTCACTAAGGGTAGGAGCTCCTTCTTTCTTTCTGCTGCATAGAATTCCATTGTGTAAATGTATCATAGATTTTTGATCCATTCATTTACTGGTGGGCACCTAGGTTGCTTCCAACACTTGGTTATTGTAAATTGTGCTTCTATGAACATTGGTGTGCATAGGTTCTTTTGGATTGGAGTTTCAGGGTTCTTAGGATATAATACCAGCAGTGGAATTGCCAGGTCAAAAGGCAGTTCCATTTTTAGTTTTGTGAGGAAATTCCATACTGTTTTCCATAGTGATTGTGCCAGTCTGCATTCCCACCAACAGTGCACTAGAGTTCCCTTTTCTCCACAACCTCTCCAACACCTGTTATTTGTTGCTTTGTTTCTGATGGCCATTCTAACCGGTGTGAAGTGGTATCTCATTGTGATTTTAATTTGCATCTCTCTGATGGCTAGTGATGTTGAGCATCCTTTAATATATCTATGGACTCTCTCTATGTCCTCCTTGGAGAAGTGTTGGTTCAAGTCTATTGCCCATTTTTCAATTGGGTTGTTTGTCTTCCTGCAGTGGAGTCATGTGAGTTCCTCATATATTTTGGAGATCAAACCATTGTCCCAGGTATCATTGGCAAATATGTTTTCCCGAAAACATGGAATGCTTCACAAATCTGTTTGTCATCCTTGTGCAGGGTCCATGCTAATCTTTGTATTATCCCAATTTTAGTATATGTGCTGCTGAAGCCAGCATGCTCTTTTTCTATCTGAGCATAGTGTGGGCTCATGTGTAAGTATCTCTGAATGTCTGTCCCTTGGTTCTTGACTCTTCCAATGACCATGCTCCTCTGAATGAGAAGGTTGAGCCTCGAGCAATTTCATAATAGCCACTGAGTTATGGGAATGGCATGAGAATACAATAGAACCATGTGCAGGAAGATATTCTCTGCTCTTCTTGTCAGTGTGCCTAATAGGCTTCCCAACATAGCATGCCTGGAAAGACTTCTTGGTTTTCCTTCCCAAACATCAGACTCATCTCAGTAAATGGCATTGCCATCCACCAAATCCTCAAGCCCAAAGCCTAGACCTTGAATCCCGTCTTTCCCTTTCCCCCATATTCAATTTAATTACTTTTGGCTCTACCTCCAAAATATATCTCAGTCTCTCCCCAGGCAACATGTTTCCCATTACCCTCACTCCTCTGTAGTCCAGGGGTTGGCAAACTTTTCCTATAAAAGCCAAAGAGTAAACATTTTCAGTCTGGAAGGCCATGCAGTCTCTGTTACAGTCACTAAATTTATTATTAGTATAAAAACAGCCATAGGCAATATGTAAGTTTGGGTGTGCCTATATCCCAGTAAAACTTTGTTTGATAAAAGCAGTGGCTCACAGGTTCTAGTTCGCCAACCCCCTTTTTTTTTTTTCAAGATAACCCCCAGCCATGTCTGTTTGGACCAAAGGAAACCCTCCAAACTGGTCTCCATGCTTCCCTTCTCCACATGGCAGCTGAAGGGATATTTTAAAAAGTAATCAGGCAGTTACAGTCATGTTCTCTGTGTCCCTGCCAGAGCTACATGGATGGCCTCACAAAACCACAATCCAACTGCCACTGGTGAAGGAGCCTAGCCCAATGGAGGTGCTACCTGGTGTCTGGTGGGCAGGAGTATACAGCAGAAACTAGTGACCATCAGGAAGTCTGGTGACAAAGGAATTTCAGCCTTCCCCAAATCAGATGACCTTTCAAATGGGTAGAGACCATTCATGCAGCAGCTGGCTCAGTATATGAAGACCTGAGGTATAAATTCCCCCTAGACTTCCTAGACAATGCACCCTTGGTGAATTTCCTCCACCTCAACGTGGACACCCAGGGTAACATTTGCCTAGACATCCTGAAGAACAAGTGGTCTTCCCTGCACGATGTCAAGACTGTCCTGCCCTCCATCCACAGCCTGCTAGGAAAACCCAACATTGATAGCCCATTGAACATACATCCTGTGGAGCTCTGGAAAAACCCCACTGCCTTGAAGAAGTACCTGCAAGAAACCTATGCAAAGCAGATCTCCAGCCAAGGAACCTGACCCTGCTTTCCAGCCTCTCTCCTGATGCCACCTTTTATTTCCTCCTTCGATGGTCTGTCCTTGCCTTGATTTCTGTATAGGACTCTGTGTCTTCAGCTGTGCTGTCTTCAACTTGTTTTGTTTCTGCTTCTTAGATTAAGTCTCTGCGCCTCTGTGATGAACATATTAAATAAATGCATTTTTGTTTTCTTAAAAAAAATAAATAGTGATCAGATGGTGTCTCTCCCTGGCTTAAAATTGTCCAGTAGCTTCCCCATTGCCCTCACATGAAATTCCAAAGTCTCGCCCTGTTGTCTCTTTGCTTTCCATGACCTGGCTCTGGCCTCCTAGCCACTCCTGTCCACAGTGCTCCACATTCACAGTTCCTTTTCTGCTCAGCTCCCTTCACACTTTGGCTGGAACAGTCTTTCCCTAGTCTTCTGTGTCCAGGTCCTTTTCATCATTCAGCTCTTAAATCTAATACCTCCTCTCCAAAGAGAACCCCTGGACATCTATCACTGCTGTCCCCCTTTTCATTACCCCATTTGGAACTCTCTTATTTGTTGCCTGTTTAATGTGTGTCTTCCCAGCCTGATAGGTAAGCTCCATGAGTGCAGGGACCTAATCTGTCTATTCAGCACTAAATATTCTCTACGGCAGCATTATTTGAATAAGTCCTCAGATCTTTGCTCAGTGAATGGAGAGAGGCTACTGATCTGTATGTCGGGTAATGCCTGTTCCAACATCTGTTCACCTCAGCTTTCTTCAATTTCTACTAAGCCCTTTTCATACTGACCTAGAAAACTCTTGCCCAGAAGTTTATCATACTTAGTGTGTATGATAAAGTCCCCAAAATGCTGCTTGTCTGAGTCACTGTGCTTGTCCAAGGACCCTTGTGCAAACTTACTTGTCATCCCAAGGCCCAGCCAGGAGAAAGGCTGCTCTTCCAATAGCTGGACCCCACATGGGGCCTCTTTATCAACAGCTGTGATGTTGCAGAGGGGAAGTGGAATGCTGTTCCAATCCAGAAATCCTGCCTTCTGTTCCTGGTCCTCTCCCTGATGCGTGATATGAGTTTACTCAAGCTTAATTTCTTTGTTACTGGTGTTCTCTCATTGTTCCACCACTTCTCACCATCTCATTTTCTCAAGGGGCACAAAAACTACTCCCAGTCACCAAATACCCTTATCTTCCTCCTTCCTTCGTCATAGAACCCTGATTTTCTTTGAGGTGGCAGTGAATCCAACAAAAAGACTGCTTATGTCAGTCTGTTTTGCAGTTAGGGTTGGCCATATAATGATGTTCTAGCTAATGAGATAGAAACAGAAGCACAATAAACTTCTAGAAAGGGTAATGTAAGGGTGCTGACTCACTAGTGCTTAGTCTGCTCAGTCGTCGATAAAAAATACCACAGTCTGGCTACTTAAACAACATAAAATTATTTTCTTACAGTTCTAATAACTGGAAGTCCAAGATAAGGATGTCAACCAACTCAGTTCTGTGGGATAACTATTTCAGATTTGAAGATGGCTGTCTTCTCACTGTATCTTCACTGATCTTATAGAGAGAGAAAAAGAAATATATCTATCTCTCTTCTTCTGTTTATAAGGCCTTAAATAAAGTCAGATTAAGACCTAATTCTTATGACATAATTTAACCTTAGTTATCTCCTAAAAGCCCTATCTTCAAATAAATTTATATTGGGATTAAGGCTTCAAAATATGAATTTTAGAGGCAAACAATTTATTCCACAGTAGCTAGGCATGACATCATTTGGTCCTTCCCTTCTTTCCTTTTTTCTCCCATCTTTGATGATGGTATAGTGATGATGATGACCCAGTGCTTGCTGTGAACAGATGAGAAGTCCACTGCTCAGAGTGGTTAGGTAAAGTTGCCCAAATTTTGTCCACATGTTAGAACTGGAATTTCAGCTGAATAAGCCTACAGTAGTAGTGGAGGAGACTTGCACAGTATGAAATTGTCTCCTGGGGTTGGGGAGTATGCCCTGGTGTAGCATGGCCATTTGTCAACCCTGACCACTGGGTGGAATGAACATCTTCTTCAATGACTACTCCCAGGGCCAGGTGCCATGGTTACCACTGGGTACCAGTCTGAACAATGGGCATGGCAGTGGTAACTGCAGCCATTGTCATTGCCTCCCAATTCCTAGAGAAACTGGAGGTGAGGAGTGGGAAGGTGGTGGGCCTGGCTACCATGAGAACAAAGGGACACAACTCTCATGAGCTCATCTCTGGAAATCCAGTGCACTGAGCCACAGTGCAGGGAGTTAGCCCTGCTGTACTCTCTTCCCTCCTGTGATTTTCTGCTTACTGAGCAAGATCCTGACTGCCAAGGGTTTATGCTGCTGCTCAAGGCCTGCTGCTTTCTTATGCAATTATTCTTAACTCCCAGTCTTGCCCAGAACTCTCCCTCTTTATCTTCCTTCAACCCTCAGTGACCTACAGTCTTATAAGGACTGCAAACCCTGCAGTCTTTATGCTGGAGAGTCATTATGGTCAGGAGAGAGGCCAACTAACTCATGGCTGCCCCCTCCTGAGACTTTGAGCAGTGAAGTTATTTACCCTAATCTTCTCACCTGTAAATGGGAACAGTGGTTGTTGAGGAGTAAATGTAAAGACAACAGCAGAAAAATTAAGAACCTGATCCTGACTTGAACAGATATGCCTTTGAACCCTGACTGTCCTGCTGTGTGCATGACCTCATTCTGCTTTATCTGCTGTGCCTCCTTTCCTATTCTGTATAATGAGGGTAGTGGTTGCATCCATCTGCCCCACTATTCATGTGCTGAGAGTTCTGAAGAATGGTACCTGTTTGTCTTTCTTTGTACTTGTGTCCCTGCCTAAGACTTTAAGTCTGTAAAGGGCAGTGACTTTTTCTCTTTTGCTTCAGACTAAGTGCAGGTAACCGAGACTAAGCCCTTCACTGAGTGAGAACAGCTCAACTTCCAGGTGGATGCAGAGAAAGGAGATTAGACAACCTGGTTCCTCTCTTGACTTGCTCTCTTACCAGTGTCTCATGAGGTAATACCAGCTGGGTGGGCCCCAATAACTCTGGAACAATTTTAAGAGTAGCAGAGCTGATAACTAAGAAAGAGGAAAAATCTCAAAATACCTTTACCCAAACTATGCTGATTCTTCCTTTCCTCCTCAATAGCCCTCAAGATGCTCTGACAGCAAAGGAAGGAATCAGGGAGCAGGGACCCTCTAAAATTCTTGATGGACTTTGTGATGGCTTTACTATTTGCAAGAATTTCGGTAAAATTTTGCAAGTATGTATACTTTAGTAGGGAGAGGGGAAGCAAAGTATTCATTCAGTTCTCATAGGCAGAGTTCTTCAACTCTGTTTCCAGTAACTCTATGCTGGGCCTTGCCTATATACCCACTTACAAGAGCAGATTGTTAAATTTTCAACAATTTTGAGAGCCGATATGAAAAGCACAAGCATTAAATATTAAACAATGTAATCTCACAAAGAAATCAGTTATATTAAGAGCAAAGGTAATAAATACTTAACACTTATCATTTGCTAAGTAGTTTACTTCTTGTTCCTGTTCTATATGCTCACTCATCCATTGGATCTATAGTACCACATGATACTGAGTGGCTGACATCGCCTTTGACTCTGCATTCAGTGGTGTCACATCCACAGCTTGATATTGGCCATACTGGAGTTTTTA